CAGGAATTACTTCCTTGGCAGCTAAAGATAAACATAGAGAAGAAGGCAGAATGGACCAAGCATCTCACTCTGTGCTTTTGTGAACATATGCAACTAAAGAGAGACAGTGAGCCTCAGTGCTGAAAGTGACCAAGGATATTCCCCTTGTCTTAAGTGAAGCCTGGCTTCTCTTCAAAGATATCCCCTGCAGCCCTTCTGTATTAGTTTTCTTTTTTTTTTAATTTTTTTTATTTCAGCATATTATGGGGATACAAATGTTTAGCTTACATTTATTACCTTTGCCCCACCTGAGTCAGAGCTTCAAGCGTGTCCATCCCCCTGACGGTGCACACTGCACTCATTAGGTGTGAATGTACCCATTCCCTCCTCCCCGCTTCCACAAGCTGAACACCTGGTGAATGTTACTGATATATGTGCACTTAACTGTTCGTCAGTGAAATCAGTTAATACCAATTTGATGGTGAGTACTTATGGTGCTTATTTTTCCATTCTTGTGATGCTTCACTTAGTAGAATGGGCTCTAGCTCTATCCAGGATAATACAAGAGGTGCTAGATCACCATTGGTTTTTGTTACTGAGTAGAACTCCATGGTATATATATACCACATTTTATTAATCCACCTATGTATTGATGAGCACTTGGGTTGTTTCTACATCTTTGCAATTGTGAATTGTGCTGCTATAAACATTCTAGTGCAGATGTCTTTTTTACAGAATGTCTTTTGTTCCTTTAGGTAGATGCCCAGTAATGGGATTTCTGGATCAAATGATAGTTCTACTTGTAGCTCTTTGAGGTATCTCCATATTGCTTTCCACAGAGGTTGCACTAATTTTCAGTCCCACCAGCAGTGTATGAGTGTTCCTATCTCTCCGCATCCATACCCACATTTATTGTTTTGGGACTTTTTGATAAAGGCCATTCTCACTGGAGTTAAGTGATATCTCATTATGGTATTGATTTGCATTTCCCTGGTGATCAGAAATGTTGAGTATTTTTTCATATGTTTGTTGGCTATTAGTCTATCTTCTTTTGAAAAGTTTCTGTTCATGTCCTTTGCCTACTTTTTGATAGGGTTGTTTGATTTTTTCTCGCTGATTTTCCTGAGTTCTATATAGATTCTAGTTATCAGCCCTTTATCGGATGTGTAACATGCGAATATTTTCTCCCGTTCTGTAGGTTGTCTGTTTCCTTTCATGATAGTTTCCTTGGCTGTGCAGAAGCTTTTTAATTTGATCAGGTCCCATTTATTTATTTTTGTTGTTGCTGTGATTGCCTTTGAGGTCTTCTTCATAAATTTTTTCCCTAGGCCAATGTCTATAAGAGTTTTTCCAACATTTTCTTCTAGAATTCTTATAGTTTCATGTCTTAGGTTTAAGTCTGTTATCCATTGTGAGTTGATTTTTGTGATAGGTGATAGGCGTGGGTTCTGTTTCAGTCTTTTACATGTGGCTAGCCAACCTTGCAGTCCTCCTGTATTAGTTTTCTATTGGTGCGCAACAAATTACTGCAAATTTAGCAGCATAAAACGATGTACATTTATCATCTCACTATTTCTGTGGGTCAGGAGTCCAGACCTGGCTTAACTGGGCCCTCTGCCTAGGGTCTCACAAGGCAGTCAGGTTCTCAACTAGGGATGTTTTCTTTCTAGAGCTCAGTTCCTCTTTGAAGCTCACATAGTTGTTGGGAAGAATTTAGTTCCTTGTGGTTGTAGGACTAAAGTCCCCATTTTCTTGCTGATCTTAGTTCCTGGAGACCTCTCACAGTCCTTCTCACAACATGGCCACTTACTTCTTCAGGGCCAGCAGGGGAATCTCTCTGACCTCTAGACCCGTTTTAAGGGCTGAACTGATTACGTCAGGCCCACCCAGGATACTTTCACTTTTGATTCATTCAATGCCAGCTGGTGAGGGACCATAATTCCTGCTGCAAAATCCCTTTACCTTTGCTTTGTTATGAGAATATCCTACCCTATTCACAGGTCTTGCCACACTCAAGGGGTAGATGTTATACTAGGGTATGGATTATTGGGGTCATCTTGGAATCTGCCCACCACACCTGTTTATTTTCTCACTGTGTTTCTCAGAGTCAGAAGGTGGGGCCAGGATCCTCTGCTCTCCATGGCTGCTTCCAGACCATTAGTTTCCTACCTCTCATGAAAAATAACAACAACAAATATAATTAACAAAACAAAACACTGAGACTTTGAGACTTGTGCTATTTGGCTTTACTTCTGTTTCTTCCTTTTTTTTTTTTTCCATTTTACTCCATAATCCTCATGTCTCCTATTCATAAAAGGCATTGACACTGAACTCATAGCCTTCCACTTTGCCCCAAGCCCAGCCATGACTGTGGATGACATCAATTCCTGTGCCCACCACATGGAGATAGGTCAGGTATTAGGAGGGAAGAAAACATAGCAAGGAGCACATGCATGAGCCCTTTGATTCCTTAAGTGAATTTTAGTGAGGTCAGAAGGATTACAGAAACTTATTTTGCTATTTATTTTATCTTCCATATAGTTCCTGCTTTTTTTTGTCTCTTTAGATACTTAAAAAAAATTAGCTACAGTGAGAGGTAAGACATAGGGATCAGGAGCTATGTTTGGGGCAGAACTTGAGAGCCCAAACGGCTCACCTTTGATCCCTGGGCTTGGTGTTCACTATTATTATTAGAGTAAGGAGATCTTTGAGGAAGGAGAAACTGAAGGAGTCTATCCAGGTTCTGACTGGTCAGTTGCCTGGAGCTGCTGAGACAGCCAGAATGGTCTGTTTTATTTTAACAAGAGTGAGTCTCTTCCCTTACGGTATGCTTTGGTTGCTAAGTACCAATTATGTGCTGATGTTGGTAAAGCCCTTATCATGTGGTGACTTAAACAAGAACTTTGTCAGAACCCATTTCTTCTTTCCTGGTCTTGCCTCCATTCTGAAGAGTCATTTTCCTGAGTTCTACACTGGACTGGATGTGACTTTCTTGAACATCTAGCCTGATAAGCCGATTGCAGCAAAGGTTTCCTGAATCTCTCTCTTCACCAATGCTTAGAAGACAATGTTACAGAAGTTTTCTCTCAATTAGAAAGGCCCACTGGTGTGGACCTTTTTGTACTTTATGTCTCTTAGTTCTCTGTGTTTCTCTCCACAGTTCTTCAGGATACTTCAGAGAGCAATGAATAGTGACTCTGTATGAACTCTCTCTCTGTGTAACTTCTCCCTTTGTGAGCTGAGGGGGAAAGAGGGTACTGAGTATGAGTACTGCCTGGCTGACTTGCCTTCCACCCCTCCAACAACCATTCTCTAGAGCTGTGCCACTCGTCACGTGCAGACATGAAATTAAATATAAATGAATTATAATTAAATAAAAAAATTCATGTCCTCTGTCACACTGATCACATATTAAGTGCTCAGTAGCTGCATGTGGTTACCATATTGGACAACAGAAATACAGAACATTTTCAGGGGAGATTCAAGTGTCTGCCCTCTACTGAGGTTTAAGCTGAACTGACGCTCAGGTGGAATTTAGCTGTTTCGCTTCTCTGAGGCCTTTAGCAGTTGGGTTATACCTGCAAGTCTACTTCCTACAGGGGTAGCCTGCCCCCTCTTATGGTAGGATTTGACAGTAGCCTAGAGAAGACAAGCCAGTCCTGGGAGAGCTCCCTCAGGGTTCTGGAAATGCTATGTACTAGTTTTCTATTGCTGCTATAAGAAATTCATACACATTTAACAGTTTAAAACAGCACAAATTTATTATCTCACTATTCTGTAAGTTAAGAGGTCCATCTGACATGAGTCTCAGCAAGCTAAGCTCAAGGTGTAACCTGGATGGTATTCCTTTCTGAAAGCTTGAGGGGGGAATATATTTTCTTGTTCCTTCAGGTTTTTGACAAAATTAAGTTCCTTAAGGTTGTAGGACTGAGGTCCCTATTTTGTGCTGGCTGTCAGCTGAAGGCTGTTCCCAACTCTACAGCCACCCATATTCCTTGGCTCCTGGCCGCTTTCTTCACCTTCAGAGCTAATAAAAGTGGGTTGAATCCCCTTCATAATTCAAATGTCTCTTGTATCTTCCATCACGTCTCCCTGACTTTAGCTGGGTAAGGTTCTCTGCTTATGAGGAGCTCACGTGGTTAGATGGGGCCTACTCAGATAATCTGAGATAATCTCCCCATCTCAACATCCGTAACTTTAATCACAGCTACTAATTATTTTTTGCCTTGTAAGGTAACATATTAGGGTATAGACATCTTTGGTGGGAGGGGTGTGTGGTCCACCACATACCTCCAGATTAATTCTTTATTATTAAATAAAAATAGCTTAATATTTGAAAATGTACCTTATTTGAAGAGGATAATTAAGATTGTACCACCTTTATATAAATGGTATCATTAATTTACTTTGGAGATTAAACATCCGAAGAAGACAAGAAACTTAAAGAAAGGAGTTGAGAAAATGAAGAAATGGAGAAAGTGGTACCTGGAAAAATCTTTGCTTCTTAAACATTTTATTTCATGGTGAAACATACACCCATAATAGTATAATTTGGAGTACATTGATTAAATACCACTAAGTTATCTCTGAAGTAACCATTTACTCATATTTTACCTTTTAAAAGTGAGAAAACATAAAAGTACCATTATAATTATGAAAATAATATCTGAAGTTGAATAATATTAGGGTAATCTTATCAAATTGTATGTACTTAATGTTATATATTCAATAGCTTCCCCACCTATTGGATAGTAGATTGCTAACTTCTGATTTTTATGATTCTGCAATAAAATCCATTTTATTTTAATGTTTGTTGCCATTCATGTATTTATAGATTTCTATACTCATTTTTAATTTAGTATGTAAAATATTAAATAAACAACAGGTTTGATTAAAAGATTCTATAATAGACTATTATCTATTCTAAATATTTTACAGTGATACTCTATCTTGTAATAAACTATAATTTTTGAGAGTAAATGTAGCATTTACCTTTTTCATCTTTCATTTTATCTCATTAGCTAAGAAACCTTTCCAGCTTGGACCTACGTCATATCACTGAACTGGATAATGAAACCGTGATGGAAATTGTCAAGAGGTGCAAGAATCTTAGCTCTCTCAATCTCTGTCTGAACTGGATCATAAATGACAGGTAACCACTATATAACATCTTAAAAACACTTTTCCAAAGGAAAACATGTAGCAGATACTGATTATCATTTTAACAAGGCCTGTCAACTTTATGTAAAATTGAATATATCTATGTCTTTTCAAATTGATATGTTTAAGTTTTGAAAACCTTCTAGATCTATACTTTTAATGCATCCATTGCTTATAAGGGAAGCAAAGTTTTTAGGTGCTTTGACACAAATGTTATAGAACAACAGTCTGTCGGATTTTTTTCTTTGTTATCTGTCTAAGATATATTGTTTATTTGTCACTTTAATATTTTTGCAACTTTTATGACTGGCTTAACTGTTCGTTTTTCAGGGAAAATGATTCTCAGAAACTGTCTCAAACATTGTGCTTTTAGACCCTTTCTTAAGGATGGCGTTTTTTTCAGAGATGTCTCACTATGTTGCCCAAGCTGGCTTCGAACTCCTGGGCACAAGCAATCCTCTACCTCAGGCTCCCAAGTAGCTGAAACTACAGTCGCTCACCACCATGCCTGGCTAAGGATGACATTTGTTCTCTCTCTCTCTATATATATAATTTATTTTAAAAATGGAAGTCATATGACATAGTGTAAAATGTGTATAATGGGAAATATTTTCCTATAAATAATTGTAAACCTATTTTTCTTTGAAATATTTCGTGAAGTAAGAAAAAGCTAAGGAAACCCTTGAAAGTAGACTTTTATCATGAAAACAACTGCACAGTAGCACTAGCACTACTGATTCAGTAGGTTTGTAAATATAGGTATGAGACAGGATTCTTTTGATCATAGCTTTTCAAGTATTTTTTTTAAAACTGTAGGCCACTAAAAATATTTTGTTGTCAAAATAGAAAGCACTATTTCATCTAAAATTAGAACCTATTTAGATTATTCTTTTAACTATTCTTTTAAAAATAGGAGAAATAATGTATTAAGCTTCTGTCAGATAATGCTTTAAATTCAAGACATCCCCTCTCTTTTAATTTCCTTTTATACTTTAAAAATAAAATCATGTAGACTCCATTTTCCCCAATTGTGGTGAATTCTAGTGACATTTTCTTAAGTTACCCTGAATTATTCTTTAAATTATGTGACAGCCTTGACGTCACTTTAAGTAAAATTTTTCTTGAAAAATTTACTCATCTAAAATGGGTATATGATCATCATTTATAAGAGGCGTCTATTGTTTTTGAGTAATATTTGCTATATGAAGTGTATCAAAATCTAAAGAAAATTGAATTATATAAATTTAAAAAGTAAAATTCTTTATAATCAATATTCTATATAGGAAGTAATATGACAATTTATAATAATCTTTAAAAAGCTTTTCATAATAAAATAACATATATAAACCTTATCTTATGGTTTTAGGTATTTAACATTAGCTTATTATTCTGATAAATTTCTTAGTGATCCATCGAATTTAAAGAATAGTGTTTCTACAATAAATTGATTATGTTCCACCACAGTTTTCTGTACACCTAACATGTGTAAAAGAGTCACTAACTGGAGGATACTATGAATGGTAAATAAGATGCAGTCCGTATATGATTATATGGGTTATCACCTAAGTAAACATTTTGCTTAGGTTTGTATCATTTAAACAGATGTTGGAGGAGGGGTGGATTTATAGTCCTCTTCCTCTTTAAATGCTTATCTAGTCATAACTGGGTACTTTACAAATGAAAAAGTAGGCAGCCCTCACTTGTCTTTCATTCCCTTTGTTAGTCTCTATGTACTCAAACCTAGTGCTATTGCAATCATTTTTTCCCTCCTTAACTAACTGTAATCATTATTTGGGGTGTGATCCTAAATATATGTATTGTAGAGATGTATTTGCAAGAAATGAAAGCGTATTTTTATGTTTTTAATGGAAAAGTTTGGATTAATTGAGAAAACATGCATTTTAATGAGGTTGAGCAGTAGAGTTTTTAAAGATCAGGCTCTTTTAGGTTTTAATTACACTACTTGCACTTATCCTGTATACTGTAATAGAAGCTTCAAACATTAAAACCCACTTTGCAGTATCATCTAAATTACTCATCTCATTGTTCTTGCCATATTATATTACTAAGCTAAGTAATATTTGTAATTATATTGGTATAAATCTAGGACTTCCCATCAGACTTAATTATAATTTCAGCACTTAGCTGAGAGGGGTTAGTAACCTTCCATATAGAGGACACTAGAATGCCCTAATGCATTTAGCCTATCAATTAGCTTCTGTTTTACATTTGTTCATTATTATTATCCTCCAGTAAATCAGGAAACATTTATTAACCCCCTACTAAATACTTGGTACTGTCTCAGACAGTAGGGCACTGAGTCCCTCCTGTTCTCAAAGGTCACTCTGTTTAGGTGACATAAGACTTAATGATAATAGTGAGCCTTGTAAGGAGAGAGGGGAGGAAAGTAACCTTTATTATGCAGGTAATTGATAGGCACTTTACACATGTTCTCATTTAATCCCTTCACCATCTTTCTTGTTCAGGGGAAGGTTATATTAATACTATTTCTATTAAATTTAGACCATTTGTTTGACTTTTCTTTAGCTTTTGAATGCATGTATTTTTCCATCATTGCTGCAGTAAAAAGTGGTGAGTACAAATAAGAAAAAGTAAATGGCTATTGAGTCTGTTTTCCATTTCATTGCTAGGATTTCACACACAATTGACATTCATATGTCAAATTATTGATTTTTTAACTAAACTCATTATGTTCTTTCATAATGAAAGTATAGTGGAACTTTTAGATATTATTTTATATGTAGTACCTATTGCAAGGATCTGTCTTTAATGTTGATAGTTTTAATAAGGAATTCCTCAAATTAAGATAAACTTTTATACTTGTCTCAGTTCTTTATACATAAGATTTATTCTAGGTTTTCAAAGTTCTCATCTGTAAACAATTCTTTTTGAAGTTCCAAATTTAAAAATATGTAGTCATTGAGGGACTTTACTGTTTTGCTCATGGTATCTGTTAGCATTTTGTGGTCTTTGAACTGATGCGTGTGACTAAGACATGCTGCTCTTTATCTTTGTTTTTCTGAAAGCACTTTTTGTGTTTAGGGAATTAAACAGTGTGATATTTTCTTGTATTCAGAAGGATGGTCTAGTAGTCATTTGACATTTACCATTGCTTTTGAATACAAATAAAATCCAAGTGTCTTATGAAAAGAGGACACTGACTATTTCTATCAATGATTTAAATTAAACATTTAGTTATTATGTCTCCTCCACTCTCTCTGACTCTAAGTTTAGTGAAATATTTATTTGTATTTGATATAAATCTTTTGTTATTTCACATCCAATTTTGTCTTCAGTGTGCTGGTATGTTGGACACAGAGTCCAAAAGCAGCATGTTTTGGATGTAAAAAGCTGCTATGTAAAAAACTGAATGGTCTGAGCATCTTGACAGCAATACACTTACAGTGGTTCTTTTATTCTTTTTTGCCAGTAGGAATTAAATATTTACAAAAGGTATTTTCATATTTTAAATTGACTATCACAAACATAATATCCCCAAATTCAATTTTTAACATTGGTCCTGAAAAAGAAGTTAGTTCGATCCTGTGATTTGTATCCCCATTATCAAATATCTGAGCCTTTCATTGGCAGTTGACCATACTTGCTCGTGAATTGGAAGAACAGAATACAATAACAATAGAAGAGAAATAAAAAATTCGCTAGCATCCTCTAGCTAAAGTAATAAAGCATAACAATAGCCAGGGTTGTTGTTGTTAATGTAAGTTATGTTGTCATAATACTTTTCTGTGTGAATCTTATATTTATGTAAAGGGAGATCTTATACCAGTGTATACCCCTTAAATTTGGAGAATTTTATATCTGCATTCTCTATTCTGATCCACTGGTCTATGTCTTGGTTCTTGTGCCAGTACCATGCTGTTTTGGTTACTATAGCCTTGTAGTGTAGTTTGAAGACTGGTAAATTGATACCTCCCAATTTGTTCTTTTTGTTTAAAGGTTGCTTTGGCTATGCGAGGTCTTTTCTGGTTCCATGCAAAGCATAGAAATATTTTTTCTAGAGCTGTGAAAACTGACATTGATTGGTATTTTAATGGGGATTGCACTGAATCTGTAAATCACTTTAGGTATTATAGACATTTTAAGAATGTTGATTCTGCCGATCCATGAGCATGATATGTTTTTCTGTTAGTTTACATCCTCTGTGATTTCCTTCCTCAGTGTTTCATAGTTCTCCCTGTAGAGATCTTTCACCTCCTTAGTTAAATGTATTCTTAAGTATTTTATTTTCTTTGTTGCTATTGTGAAAGGTATTGAGACTTTGATTTGATTCTCAGCTTGACTGTTGTTGATGTATAAGAATTATACTGATTTGTGTATATTGATTTTATAACCAGAGACTTTGCTGAATTTATTTATCATTTCTGGGAGTCTCTTGGCAGAAGCTTTGGGGTTTTCTAGATATAAGATCATATCATTAGCAAAGAGCAATAATTTGACCTCTTTTTTCCCCATTTAAATATCCTTCATTTCCTTCTCTTGCCTGATTGCACTGGCTAGGACTTCTAGTCCTCTGTTGAATGGAAGTGGTGACAGTGGGCAACCTTGTCTGGTTCCAGTTCTAAGGTGGTGTGCTCTCAAATTTTTCCCATTCAGTATTATACTGGCTGTGGGTTTGTCATATATGGCTTTTATAATATTGAGGTATGGTCCATCTATGCCTATTTTATTAAGAGTCTTATCATGAAAGGGTCCTGGATTTTGTCAAATGCTTTTTCTGTGTCTATTGAGAGGATCATATGGTCTTTGTTTTCACTTCTATTTATGTGGTGAATCACATTTCTAGATTCGTGTTTGTTGAACCATCCTTGCATCTCTGGGATGAAACCTACCTGGCCATGGTGGATTATTTTTTTGATGTGCAGCTGATTCAATTTTCTAGGATTTTATTGAGAATTTTTGTGTCTGTATTCATAAGGAATACTGGTCTGTAGTTTTCTTTTGTTCTTGTGT